CACATCCATGTTATTGCAAATGGAAGATTTCCTTTGTTTTAGTGGCTTTCAGCAGATGGTCCTGGGATCGAGCCCCACATCGGGCTCCCTGCTCAGCGGGAAGCGGGAAGCCTGCTTCTCCCTCTCCCACTCCCCCTGCTTGTGTTCCCTCTATCGCTGTGTCTCTCTCTGTCAGCAGATATTTGTTTCAGATACTGATTCCCAAGTCCCCCACATAGTGATTCTTATTCAGAAGATCATTGATGAGACCCAGGAATAGGTACTTTTGACAACTGTCAAAAGTGATTCTTACAGCCAGGCAAATTTGGAAAACATTGACCTAGCTTTTATGTTTTCATTGCTGGCAGCTGAAGAAGGCTGTTCCCCATATTTCTAAAAATAAAATACTTTTTAAGGCAAAATTGTATGACTAGATAAAATATTTATACACATACTATATGTATTGTACTTATTATATACTTCTGTTATATTTATAAAGATGGGTAAGAATACTCAGAAAAATTGAATATTAAATGAAACGAGGAGTGTGTAGGGGTAGAGATGAATGCAGCTTATTGCTACAAAAAAAAAAAAAAGAAAGTTAAAATGTTAGAAATCTAATGTCACAAACAGCATTTTATAAAGTGCAAGAGCTTCAAAATCATGCCTGAATCTTCTTTGATGTTCAGTTGTAAACGGTGACTTTGGACTAGATTTAGGGGAGAGACCAATTATGCTTTAAAGTGTTCTTGTAAAAGGCTTTAAATGAAAGAAAATCCTTATATGTGGTTGCAGTAATTTAAATTGAAGGCTTTTAACAAATTACTAACCCTTCCCCTCTTAAAAATTGTCTTTCATTTGAAATGAAAATTTAAGTTGTTATTTATGCTCTATTAGCATCCTTATGCAGAGACTCAACAGCATGTTTTACATTTCCAAATTTTTATTTCTTGATTTTGCTGGAAGGAATATACTACTTCATTGATTTTTTAAAAGCAAGGTAAAACAATTTATTCTGACAAGGGCAGATGGTACTTTCTTCCTCCGTTTTCTGGGAGCAAAAGATTACATTTAATAGTGATTTCAGCCTGAGAGCAGCAAGGTCTACATTGGGTTCAGACCAAGTGCACTAACTTTACTAAAATCCTGTTCTGTTTTTTGGATGAAAATAAACACAGGAGAAACACTTAGATCTGATACCAAAAAAAGTCAACAAATATTTATGATGCAGAAGGAAGAATGGAGGAAACAGAGCTTCGATTATGGTAATTGATAGGCATTAGTAGACAACTGTGTCAAAAGCCATTAGTCTGCTAAAAATATTATGTTTTTAGGGGTGCCTGGGTGGCTCAATCAGTTGAATGACCAACTCTTGATTTCAGCTCAGGTCATGAGCTCAGGGTCCTGAAATTGAGCCCTGAATTAGGTTCTGCACTCAGTGGGGAGTCTGCTTGAGATTTTCTCTCTCCCTCTCCTCTGTCCCTCCCTCTGC